CTTAAATGGCAGTGCTTTATTAGTCATAACCAGTATCCCCACCTCACTTCCCCATCCCTGTTATGCTCTGCATACTTCAAAGTATAGGAATAATTACCACTTAACTTTAAACTTACTACTGTTCATAGCCTTGCAAATAAATATGCACCACACTGCCTTGAGTGCAGCCTGCTCATTGGTCATGCTGACAATTGTGCCATAGCTTATGGGAAGAACATCCTGGGTTACTGGTTCTATACCTGATATTGGCTGTAACTTCCGGTATTGACTAAAATTTTAGATGGATTTTTTTGAGATTACTTTTAACCTGGTCTCTGTGAAGCTCTGGTCAAGGTTACTGGTGTAATCTTTTTATAACATTACATTAAATGCAAGCTTAAGGTCAGGGCCTAAGTCTTCAGACTTAAGGTAGTTGCAAAGGGTTTTTAGTTACACTTATTCAGTATGTGATCTTGAAAAGAACTTAAAGCACAGTGACACTGTGCCTAGAATTTTGTGGTCTGTTTTATGACAGATAGAAAAGAAAATCTTCCCTTCCAAAATGTAAGGGAGAAGAGTGACCAGGTGTGATTTGTTCTCTTAATATAACTGTAAAGGTAGGGCTATAAAGTGTGATAATTGACTGGCCTGTTAAATGAACCAAAAATACCCATAAGACTCTTTGAAAATGAATCTAAAATGAAAATGTTGTTTTAAAACAAAACCCTTTATAATATTTTTTTCTGCTTCTAGGTTTTACCTCAATTTTGTTACTGAAGAAGTGGAAAATCCAGAGAAGTACGTATGTTATTTTTTCTCCTTTACTTTTTAAAACAAATGTAACAGTCAAAATGCGGCGAGAGAAGCAGAGATCTTTGGAAATTCTGCATTCTAGTCAAGTTGCTTGCTTTTCCAGCAGATCTGGTATCTATTTGAATTGCTACTGCTTGAAGATTTGCTATTTTTGGCCTGTTGTGACCTTGTTGTGTATTCTGCTTTTATGTGCACAGAAAGCAGAAAAGTAAGTAGGTCTCTAGGGTTCTGATTCTCTCCTTCAGGATACAAGTAACCATCAATGGCTTCATTCTTGTAGTCTTTCGGGGAAAATCAGACCCAAGAATTTTTCTGACTGCTCCATTATGTGCAAACTTTATTATTACTTAAATATTGGTCTAAATACCTAATTCTTCTTGTTTGAAAGTTAATGATAACTCATGACTTCAGAATCAGGAATGCATCTAGATCAACTTATTAACTGACAAAGGTCAGGAGAGCATGAGAGCATGACAGGAAGGTTCGTTACAGACCTTATATAGGGGAACATAAATTACTCCTTAAATACCTATTTGTAATGCGTGTGAAGGAAACTTGGAAAACTTGCGGAACTTTGGTTTGGGAGATGTATGCTCTAGGTCCCAGTAGTACCTCATTAGAGTTTAAGTCTGGTGGATGACTGAAAACAGGTTTCATCAAATAAACACAAGTTCATTCTTTGAGGACAGTTTAAAAGTTTACTTGATAAAGATATAATATGCTTAGACTTCACTAAGATGTTTGACTTACGTAGTGCCAAAAAATACCGATAATTTAGAGCTATACTATATCAGTATATTTCATCAGTTAAGGACTAATGGACCATGCCCTGATCCCTGTACCTGGGGCCCAATCCTGGCACATGAGGGCCAGCGGAGGCCATGCTGGGCCTGATCTGTTCCAAAGACCAGCCCCCATATCACTCATCTGGCCTATACAGCCTAAAGATTGAGCACCGGTGATCTTGAAGCTTTGCAAATTATCATGTAACTGTCATTAGTACATATGCGCTGTTCTACACAAATACACAAGTAGTAACTTAAGAGTAAGTTACTGATAGTTTTTGTTTTGGAAATCTTTGGAGGGCAATCCTCTCCTGTTTATACCAACAGAAGTTTTCTGCCATTAACTTAAATGAGTGCAAAATCATGTGGAAACCTACATATTTTTGAGCATGTGGGTACATGCAGACATTTGCCACACCTGATCTACAATTATGTGGTTTACTTTAAGATGTGTGATTGTAGATCCCAAGCAGCTTATGACCACATTTGCTAGTACTGGAAGCCTCACCGGGAACCCAATCTAATAACTCAGGGTAGGGGGAGTGGTGGATGGGATTGGAGGAGTCAGTGGGTCCACAGGGAAGTTTGGTGGGTGGGGGGGAGGGGAGGTGTTGGGATTGGGAGCAGTTGCCAGGTTGGTTGGTGTGGGGGGAGTTGATGGGTGTGCAGGGTGATTATCCACCTGGAGGTGGGAGGGCCAGGGGGCTAAAAATAATCTTGTCAGGATGGGTGGGTGGGTGCGTGCAGATGTTTGGTAGATCAGGCTAACCCTTTCCCAGTCTAACATAGTCAACTGCCCCAAACATCTGCATGGATTGGCATGTAGAACAACCTAACCCTAGTTAGCTTGATCTTAATGTAACATCCACATGTACTCTCCAATGCTTAGGACATATGAGCCATTGTTTTTATCAACAAAGTATATTGCATTACATGCTCTGGATTATATCCTCATGTTCAGCTGAGATGTGTTTAGCACACCTGTGGAGGAGGTGAATGCCAAGGTGGCTTGTAAAGCTGCCTCCCTTGGGAGTATCCAGTCTAGGATTTTCTTTATCAAAAGTGAATGCTTAGAGAGCTGGTTGAACTGTCTGTCTGCACTGCTGGAGCATATCCAAGAAATGTGATAGGTATGCTACTTCAGATATGCAAAATAGCAGGGCCCAGATAGCCCATCAGATTCAGTGTGTTCCTTTAAAAGGTGTTGTCATAATTAAAGGCTCTACCTTGCATGGGTAATATTTTTTCCTCTTTACTACAAAGCTGTTGAAGCTTCAGTTCATCACTCTTTCTGTTTAGGATGCTGATTGAGAGGGAGATAAAGGAAGATGCCCTGTGTTTACAGTGCATCTGAGGACACATTCTTCAGATAAAGGGAGAAGTGGATAAGAGATCAAGGTTTCCAATGCATTATTTAATAACTCACAAAGCATAATTGGACTGAACGAATTATTACCTGCTATGCTGAATGAGACCTTTGTGCCACCAATAAATCAGATTTTCGACTCCATTAAGCAGTCCTGAAAGAGAAGCAGTTAAATAAAACATTGGGCATTTTTTAGTTCAGTTGCTGTGTTCAGGTTCTGTTGGAAAGATTCTGCTAAGGCAGATCCTGAGAGAAATTTTGCATTATAATAGGAATCTCACTGAAGTTAGAGCTGAAACATAAAACTGCCTAACTAGTATAGCAAAAAGGACTTAAGGATAGCATAGACTAATTCTAATAGGGCCTAACCCAACTTCCACTGAAATCAGTAGGAGTCTCTCCATTAATTTTAATGAGCAGTGAATCAGGCTACTAAGTGGCATTGGTGAAATAGCCATTTAACAGGCCTTCCAGTAACATGGAGATTCTTTGGGTTGAAATACTGACTTTCCTTTTCATATGTATTATGTTAAAGAACTCATATGGTAAAGCTGTGTTAGATTTCAACAAGAATTAGGGAAATTGCCCTAACAGTTGTAACTGCTCCAGGTACGTAATTTGTAATATTTTGTAAACAGCTGTAGATGCAAATTCCTTTGAGGAGCCAAGGAGTATGTAAAGATTCCTTCTGCATTATGATGTGTCAAGGCATGTGTTTGCTTCACAACCCATTACAGTTGTACATTTGCAGGTGTGTTGCAGTATGTTAAATAACTGGCAGCTGGTACTTAGCTGAGTGATCAGATGATTCTCAAACAGCTTTAAACCAGTCTTCTCCAAACCCACAGTTAATATGTACTCAAAAAGTTAAGTGGGGAATATATTTAATTGCATCACTGGGGATGCAGAGATGATCTATCATATAGAGTACTTGCAGCAAGCTGCCAGGTGCCCATCTTTGTTGAGACTTGTTTACTTCCTTTTTAACCTACTGAGCCTCTGAATCCTTTTGCTCAGCTAAATTGTGAGGGGTGATTAGTATGGGCAAGTATGCTAGAGATTGTGCAAAAGAACACAAGGGGAGTGTCTACATGAGAAGCTAAATGCGCAGTAGCCTAATAATACTGCTCAGTAGCGTGTTATGGTAGAAAGAGTGCTAATATGCTACTGAGCAGTATTATTAGGCTACTGCACAGTAGTGTTATTAAAAAGGCGTGTGGCAGCGCTGCCGCACAGTAATGCTGGTTACTGCACATTGACTTAGTACTTGGTTATATAAGTACTAAATTTAATGCATAGTAACTACGGCACATTTATGAATGTGTAGACATGCCCAGGAAGATCAAGACAGCCACTGGATTGTCTCCTATACTTTTAACTTTTCAAAGCAAGGTTGGCTTTATTTTAAGTGTGCCATGTATTAGGAATGCTGTGGGGGTGTAAAAAAAAAAGAGTAGAAATGCATTGTAACTAAGAATAATAAATCAGATAATACATAACTCAGAAAACTGAGCTCCACAGCCCTGACCAGCTAAAAATGCTGTGTGTCTCGGTGAAAGTCTGCAAGTATCCTTGGTTGGATTGCTGCATCTGCACAGAGCCTTGAAGTCACCAGGACTCCATGTGAATGCTACAGAAGGCCCAGGCACAACAAACTGCAGGATCGGGGCTATAAATAGGGAAAACAGTCTGGGGATCAGGCACTCAGATGCCATCCTGATACAGAAAGCTAGAACTGAGAGAGAATGCACAGCTGCTGAAAATAAGTGGAGGAAAAAGAGGCTAAAGGAATTTTGGGGAAAAGGCAAAATACAGAAGGGGGAAAGTCAGAAAATGAAGGAAAATGTAATATATGTTTGAAATTGTATTGCCTTTTGGGAAGATGGCTGATACCTATTTTGGATATGATACAGTCTTGTCCAGAAAAGTGTTTACATGTATCACAGTTTATCATAAGTGTAAGAATAACTGTGGGTCTTCTACTAAAAATCTCTACGTTGCCTCATTCTCATGTTTGGAATTAATTTCTTTATTTCTTGTAAGCACAAACTTAAAGAGAAGATATCTTCAAGTACTAATGAGGCTTGAAGCAACATGGAGGTTAATGTTAGTTTCTCATAGATTTGAAGGTTGCAGAGTTTAGCTGCTTTGGTATGCAATTTTTTTTAATAACCTGAAAAAGGTGTTACTAAGCATATATGCAACTGCAGTGCAATACAATAGCCATGTTTTTTTTTCCACTCTATAAAATTAACTTCTACATATGCGTGGTTGAGTCGATAATGATTATTATTCAAGAAGAAATATTTGAATAACCCTTAAAGCAAAACTTCATTAAAATGACTTCATGTAGTCATGCCAGTTGGAGCTTTGATCTTTTCAGTTCTCATACATTATAAGGATTAGGCCTTGTCAGAACTTGGATGATATGATGTATTGTCTGGAAAACAAGTTAATGAGCTAACAACCAGTAGTTTGAAAGAAAGAAAATAAGTTTGAGACTCTGGGCAGCAATATCAGGATGTGAATAGAGACGACTGGAACTGAGTTCACTGAGCTTTCACACTTGTTTCTAATATATAGTCTTTGGATTTACCCTGAGGTTCAGGGGAATTATGCTGCCTCACTGTCCTTTCAGCCAAGACTACAATAGCAATTCTGATGTACCTGTTATATCTTGGCTTCTCTTGAGCGTGGATCAGATTCCAGGATTGGGACCTTAGTTTGTAAGGAGTATTTAGGATCCCATCGTCTGAAAGAAACTGTATATATTATTCATAGATTCATAGATGTTAGGGCCGGAAGGGACCTCAATAGATCATCGAGTCCGACCC